AACGGTACGGTTGTTGGTTCCGCTACCCAGGAGCAGACTAGACCATTCCAATCCACTCACTTTGTTACTCTAGCTAACGTACAAGCTATGCTTGAGGAATAGCGTAGCAAGAAGCAACTACCATCTTTTCCCGACCCAGATGTGAAGCCCCCATACTCTCAGGAGATATTGGCCATGCCATACCTAACTGGGTATATAGTACCTAAGTTTATCAAGTTTGGTGGAAAACAAGGCAATGCTAGAGAACATGTGATGAGATTCATTGAAACTCTTGGTGTCCATGGTAGTGACCACTCTTTGCACCTTTGGGAGTTCTCTAAATCACTCACTGAAAGGGCTTATAGCTAGTATGTGAACTTGGCCCCCAACTCGATCAAGAGTTGGGAGGATATGGTGAACAAGTTCCATACGAAGTTTTTCCAAGTCCAAGAGAAAGTTATAACCCTCACACTTGGGCGAGATGTCCAAAAAGAAGGTGAAGATATACTGGACTATGTCAAGCGGTTCCAGGATAAGGCTATTGACTGTTATGAACCAATGAATGATGCCCATTTAGTCAGCATATGTGTGAAGGGTGCCACACGCGACTACAAAATCTTTTTGGTGAACCATAATCTGCCTACCTTTTTAGCCTTGATTGAGGCAGCTAGGAACCTCAGTACCACTGGTCCTTTGCATAGATCTCATAACAATCACCGCTACTCTCGTAGTAGCAGAGTTGCTACGATAACCTCCACACGAGGGAGCCACTCATAAGGGGAGGCATCATCTTCTCGGAAGAGGAAGAGTTATGAGGATAGAAATCCATATCCTTGCAGCCTTGAGAACATCAAAGCCTTGGTTAAAGAATGGGTGGCCGATGGTGAACTCACTTTGCCTCTGGTTGATGTTCCCCCAACCAATAAGGATTACAAAAGCCTAGATTATTGTATCTACCATAGAGCTGCCAGACACCCTACTAGGGACTGTTGGACTTTGAAAAGTATTTTCAAGAAGAAAGTTACCGCGAATGAGATGAAGTTCAAAGACGCTGGTAACCATGATGTAAGGAAGGACCCTTATCCTAACTACAAGGAGAAAGGGAAGAATATACATATGATTCGCTATCTTGGGCTTGTACGCGATCAAGTGCATATGGCATCCTACTATGATGAGTTTGAAGAAATCGTAACTGGCCAGCTCCCTGAAATAGTACCCGCGGAGGCAAAACTCGCAGAGGATACTCATGCTCAGGCCTTGCAAAACTCTGTCAAGTTTCGTACCTTCTTTGACTACCTAGGGCTGAGCTAAGTAGTTAGGTTGGAAGCAACAAAGGCCCTTATCAACGTCTCTAAAGCGCATCATCCTGAAGTTGCTGAGGCTAAGGAGTATGTGCCTCGGCGCATCCAGGAAGATTATGGAGCCATTACCTTTTCAGAGGTAAACAGAGCATACCCATTTCCTCATAATTGTCCTATTTTTGTCACAGCTTACATCAATGATGTGGAGTTCAAGCGTGCTTTCCTTGATAGCAAAACGTCCATAAACATCATCACTACCGACACCGTTGTGAAGGTTAGTATCCTAGAGTCCAGGATGGTCTGCCAACCCATTACTGTGATAGGTTTTGGTGGTGAGAACAAAGTTACCAGGGGCAATGTTGTAGTGGACTTAGCAGTTGGTGAGATTCATTCTGTAACTAAGTTTCATGTGATAAAAGCGGATACAAGTTACAACATGATACTTGGCAAAGCTTGGATGCACTGATATGGGGCTATCCCGTTGAGTTATCACCAATGCGTAAAGGCAAAGTTGGGGAAGCGAACAGTGACCATAAATGCATCTGACAAGCCATTTGGAATAGAGGAGGCACACTATTCTGATGCAGTTTTCTTTACTGAGTTATCAACGGATGAAACTCCAAGGACTGGTAAAGTTGTAGGGGAAAAGTTTTCGAAATGGGAAGACATTCGAGATGCAGAGGTTGCTCCAGAAAGTAGTAGGCACAAGAGGAGTAGCAAGTCCATAAGTCCTTCATCTAAGATTGTTAAGGTACGTGAGGGTGGTAAGACAGTTTATTACCTATGACGGCCTTAGGGGCCAGACTTCATACCTCGAGAGGATGGCCCCAAGAAAATAAATGTGATGGTGACAAATCCCAAAAAGGGTTGGTGGAGACACCTGAACCCACCCCTGAATGCATGCAAGATAGAACCAAACTGCAGCAGGAAGTACTTGTTAAGATAAACCTTAGCGACTCACCAGGGCAGAGCAAGCCCGTGTTTATCAGCGATACAATGGCTCCAATAGCTAAGGTAGAATTAATAACACTACTGAAGCAGTACAGTGACGCTTTCGCTTAGACATACGACAAGATGCTTGGTCTTGACCCATTCCATGTCACCTATCACCTTGACACTTTTTCCAACTTTAAGCCAATAAAGCAGCATGCTTGAAAGTATCAGCCTGACCTTGAGGCAAAGATTAAGGAAGAGGTAGAGAAGTTGCAGAGAGCTAGGTTCATTGAACCTATACAATACCCAACTTGGCTAGCAAATATTGTGCCTGTGAAGAAGAAGAACGGCCAGATCAGGGTCTGCGTACACTTTCGCGACTTGAACAAGGCTTGCCTAAAAGATGAGTTTTCATTGCCACATGTTGACACACTTGTCGATTCTACTGTGGGCCATCAGATGTTCTCCTTCATGGACGGGTTCAGTGGTTATAACCAGATTAAAATGGCACTAGAAGACGTAAAAAAGATAGCATTCAGAACGCCCTTGGGAAATTTTTTCTATATAGTGATACCTTTCGGTTTAAAAAATGTGGGGGCAACCTATCAACGGGCTATGATTGTAGTGTTTCATAATATGTTACATCACGAAGTAGAAGTGATGTGGACGACCTGGTAGTAAAGTCTACCGAGGCAAACCGACACCTCTGCGACTTGGAAAAAGTTTTTCAACGTTGTCGAAAATTCTACTTAAAGATGAACCCTCACAAGTGTGCCTTCAGAGTTACCACAGACAAGTTCCTTGGCTTTCTGGTACACCAATAGGGGATTGAAGTAGATGGGGATAAGGTCAAGTCAATCATGGAGATGTCACTGCCACATTCTCAAAAAGCCTTGAAGAAATTTCTAGGCAAAGTGTTATATTTTAGGAGGTTCATTCCAGCCCTTGCTGAGATAACCTTTTCCTTTGGAACAATGCTAAAAGGGAATCACAAGTTTGACTGGTTGCAAAAACACCAATAGACATTCGATATGGTGAAGCAAACACTTACCTCTCCACTCACAATGATTGCCCCACAACCTAAAAAGCCTTTGTTATTGTACCTTACTTCTATACCTCGGGCAATTAGAGCTCTACTTGTCCAAGACATAGACAACGTTGAGAAGCCAATCTATTATATCAGTCACAAAGTCAACGGTGCCGAATCACTTTATACCCTAATTGAGAGACATTGCTTAGCCTTAATCTTCATTGCGCAGAAGTTGCGCCATTATTTTTTGGCACACCCGATCCAGGTTGTGACCAGGAGTGATCCAGTCTGCTATTCATTGAGCAAGCTCGCTCTGATCGAAAGAATGGCAATATGGCTTTTGGCTCCAGTAGAATATGACATAACATGTGCTACTCCTAAGGCTATCAAGAGCCAAACACTTATAGAGTTGCTAGCACAATTCCCATCTAGTGAACATGAACCTGCAACCGATTAAGACTTATTGGGATTTAAAATTTGATGGAGCCTCTGGGGCTAGGAAATGTGGAGTTGGCATAACATTGACTAGTCAAGAAGGAGAGAAGTTCCACTTATCATATGAGCTTGACTTTGCATGTTCAAATAATGAGGCTGAATGTGAGGCGCTGATATTGGGTCTGATTGCTGCCCAAAAGAAAGGCCTCTGCAAGTTAAAAATTTTGGGTGACTCCAAGTTAGTTGTCAAGCAAGCACTAGGTGATTTCACCTTAAAGGAGCCTCTTTTGGCCCCGTATCACACCATAATCCAAAAGTTGCTCACTCAGTTTGATGATGTCCAAATCCAACATATCCCTCGCACTTACAACCGTTTTCCCGATGCCTTGGCTACTCTGGGGGCAAAGGTGGATATACCAGATAATAGTATAGCCATCGTCATCGAGAAAAGAACAACACCAGCAGTGTTAGCCAAAGGACATAGAGAGCAAGGTACTGAGAGGTGGAAAACATACATTATTCAACAGTTAAAAATAGGCCAAGGGACAACCAGACCAGCAGAACTTGCATCATTCTTGTTTCTCAGAGGAGAGTTGTATTTTCGCGGTCCTAACAACTTGCTAGCAAGGTGCGTCGGTAGACAAGAACCAACTTACAGACTTAAGCAGATCTATGCTAAGTCTTGTGGAGATGGAGATATCAGTCTATACCAACGGATGCAGAGGCAAGGATATTACTGGCCATAGATGGAAAAGGAAAGTGTCGAGTTATAGAGGCAATGTGCAAAATGTCAATCCCATCCTAAAGAAGAAGAAGCCCATTTCTTAAGCATAAAGGAATGGAGGCAACTGTATATTGACTATCTTGGAAACGACACACTGCCTGAGAACAAAACCAATGCAATTAGAGTTAAGAGGCGGGCCCTCTGCTTCTTCCTTGACCAAGGCAAGCTGTACCACAGAGGCTTTGAAGGGAAACCTTTGGCGTGTTTATCAAAAGATGAGGTAAACGAAGTGTTGGGGGAAGCCCACAAGGCAGAGCATCAAGGAGCGTAACAATTATATGGGCACCTTATTCACCTCGGCTACTACTGGCCGACAATGGAAGAAGATGCTAAAAACTTTGTAAGGAGATGTCAATCCTGCCAGAAGTTTGGAAACTTGATATATGCACCTGCGATTGAACTGCACAACATCAAGACTCCTTACCTGTTTCATACTTGGGCATTTGACCTAGTAGGTCCTATAACGCAGTAATTCAAAGGCCACAGATGGATACTTGCAGCGACTGAAGTTAGTACCAAGTGGGTAGAGGCTATACCGATGAGGAAGGAAGATGGGGCAGGAGTCGCCAACTTCATCAAGGAAAACATAATCTATAGGTTTGGCATACCCGAGGTAATGTTGTCTAATAACGGGATTGTCGTTGTGAACTGCCATGTGGAAAGGTTGTTGGACACCTACCAGATCAAGCACCACAAGTCTACTTCGTATTATCCTCAAGGGAACGGACAAGCTGAGGCAACCAACAAGACCCTAATCCGAATACTGAGTAAAATAATGGATGAAGCAGGGGGCACATGGTCCAAACAACTCCTTGTAGCACTCTGGGCATATAGAACGTCAAAGAGGAAGCCAACTCAGGCAATCCCATTTTCCCTAGTATATAGGTCCGAAGCTATGTTACCAGTCGAGTTGGCATTACACTCAGCAAGAATGGCTATGTCAGCATACTTAGTTCCAGACAGCAGGAAGAATGACATAGAGGCAATTGAAGAAAGAAGAGATCGGGCATTGCGAGCAATGGAAAAGTGTCATCAGTCCATAGCTCGCACCTACAATCAATCTGTTCAACACAGGAAGTTCAATAAGGAGGACTTGGTATGGAAAATAGTGAACGCAATCATGCGAGGGCAACCAATCCCCAAGTTCTTGCCAAGATGGGAAGGCGCCTACAAAGTTGTTGAGGCAAGTAACAATGGGTATTACAAGTTGACAAGAGTAGATGATGGGTTCAGAACTGGCTCTATCAACGCTAAGTATGTAAAGGAATATTTTCCTTAATTTTCTTTTGTTCATAAAAAGAGTTATAAGTTTCTTCATTAATATTTCCAAAGCAAAGTGTAAGAAAGTGTCATACACTTAGTAAACCTGTTACTCTTGTAAACACTTAGTGTGAAGAAAGTTTTCCATCCTTAGTGAAATTTTGTCCATGTAAAAAGCTTAGTCATGACGAAGTTTGGTTCATGGCAAGAGTTTTGCTTGTCCTTAGAAGCCATGTAAAAGACAATGAAAGGAAGGCAATGAAGTAAGACACAATATCTTTGCTTCTTATAAACATCAAAGTTTTCCACAGCATCATTACAATGTTCAAACGGAAAAGAAGAAAGAAAAAGATAGAAAAAGTACAAAGAAAAAGAGCCATAACAAAGTCACAATACATCAAATCAAACCCTTCATGAGGGAGTCCATCAGGGTCACATCCCGAGGCAACTGAGCAACGAGTGCGGAGTCATTTTCCTTGAACCGAGCCAGGTTCTGCCGGTGCTGCTCTAAGGTACCCTCACTCTCCTTGATAGTCTCCTCCAAGGATGCAATCATCACCACATTGTCTGCATGCTCAAGGAAGCCATCGATTGATAGAAGCCTATCCTTCATCCATGATAGGTCCAAACCATTCCTCTAAAAGCCGCTCAGATTGGCCTTAGCACTCTCCACGAACTTGGTGGGAGTGGCCAGAATCTTCTTCGTAGCAAGGTTGTGAATGAAACTGGTAAGTGACTCCAACAATGCTGTCTGCACTATAGAGCCAGGAACGTTAAAAGTAGTAAAGGTTCCAGGATGCAACGCCTGGATGTGGGAAAAGAGTGGGAGCAGCTTCGAAGGAGACCTAATAACTTAGAAAAGAAACTCTCCCTGAGGATTGAGGGGAGTCTCTTACACCACCGCTAGCTTGAATTACGGGAGGGAGACTGGCAGAGCGACCAAGCGACCAAAGGTCTGAGAGTGACGCACCTCCCCTGAAGATGATTGCCCAGCAGCATTGGAATAAGTAGGTGCTGGGTGGCGACCAGGCGAATTGACTTCATGAGAGAGGCCAAAGCTGCTTACACCATCATGTCGCTTCAAGAAGAGGTCATCCATATGGTAGTCCTCAACATTCAGATCTGGCACAATAGTTATGTCCATGCCCACATAAAGGTCTCGTGATCCCCCAAGATTAGCTGGCACCTCAGGGAAGTGAGTGGGGTACAAATCAGCGAGCTGCTCAGAAATTGTTGAGGTAACTGGGTCAGAAGCATCAGCGACAACAGTAGTACCATGAGTGGCCTCAAAAAAAGACTCACAACAAACAAAACCACAAACACAACACTCGGACATTTGCTTTCCATCAGCGGGAAACTTCTCAGTTCATGAGGAGACTGTTTCTCCAGGTATTGTTTTCCACCCTTTCTCATTTGTGATTCTCACATCACTCTGGCACTCAATCTCTAATTCTCTGACAAGCACTTTCCTCAGTTTTTCTCTCAGCGCACATCTCTCTATTATTTAATCTCTTTTATTTTTTATCCCTCCCCTGGGTGGTTGATGGATAACCAGAAAGTTTGTGGGCTCTTGCCCTTGGTATTCTGCTAGATTCTCATTCTTTCACTTACAACTAGTGAGCTTTCCCATATAGAGGTTATGGTGCGACTGGACGTGTATAGATCTACAACTAACATTGATTGATGTAGACACCCCATTTTTGACCGACCTCAAGACTTGGACGTCATCGTTTGTGCACTCGATGATTGTGCTTGTTTGTGTTCGTTTTGAGCGCCCGAAGTCCTCGGCGGAGCGCCTTGTCTTTGAGCCTTTAAACCTTGCCTGTTTTATGCATGTTTTTGGACCAAGAGCTTGTTGTCTCTAGCCTGGAAGAAAGGGTGACTTGTCGGCCAGCCCTGGGATCTGTCGGCCATGGATTCTTCCTGTTAGCTACTAGTGGTGGTTGACGAACATTGGTCCCTTTTTCCACATATTTGTTTGCCAGTTGTGCCAGCTGTTGCTCATTGAGCTGCATCTTCATACATGTGTATGGTAGGATGTTTATAAGCTCAAGACTTATTTTTCTATGTATAGGGGGGTTCCTCCCCTATTTTGAGAGGTTAGAAAATTTAGAGCAAATATCTCTCCCTCTCTCTCTCTCTCTAGATTTCTCTCTCTTTCTTATAATTTTGTCCCTAATTACTTGTTTTCACTACACTTTGAATACACATCCTAAATCAAATCCTCTTACCTTTGAGCTGAGGTTACTTGGGGTCTTCTTGGAGCTCTTGAAGGTGGTTTTAGCTTGGTTTTGTGCCCAGAATTGCCCATTGCTTCAAGAGGTAGTTTACTTGCCTTGTTCACTTTGTTTTGCAAGCTTGTTTTACCATCTTTTGTTACTGTTTTGGGGCTGATTTTGAACCGAGAAAAACTCTATTTTTGTGGCCTAAAAGTGCTGGTTTGAGCCCTTTTTTAGATAGGGAGTGGTTCCCCCTTCTTGCTTATTAGTTTGTAAAGCTTTTGTGCCTTTATTCATCACTTTCAAATCAACTTTTTTGGCCCTTTTAACCACTGAATTTTAGAGGTTTTTCAGTGGCAAAAAATATATTTTGAGGTCCAAATTTGGAGGGATTAGCCTCCCCCCTTGTGTCTTGTTTGCATGCTTAGTTAGCTTCACATGTTAGCATGTTTTTCTAACTTAACTTAGCTCAAGTCCAGCATGTTTTAGCCTCTGAAATAACCTATTTTTGCTCTGTTTTGGGCTGATTAGTTCGTTTGAGTCTTGTTTTACATAGTTATAATGTAACACCTTTCACTAGCTTAGTGTTTTAAGGCTTTAACCATCATTGGTGTGAGTTGATTGCATGTTTTAGTGCTTTTTCTACTTCATTTCAGCACTTATAATCTCTGTAATCTCCCTCATTTCTTCACCTTTTGGTTTTGCTTTGAAAGTGGTTTCAAACCACTTGTTTGCAACCACTTGTTTGCCTAAGTGTGAAATAGAGGTGCTACACCTAATGGTTTAATCCCTTAGGGGGTTCATTACCAATAGTGTAATGCCTCTTTCATGCCCAAAGCAACTTGTGGTTTGAGCCCTCCTTCCATTAGAGGACACTCACTAACGGACTTAATGGATTAATGAATGATTTGGTAATTAAAATGAGTAAACAAAATTGACAAGTAAAAGAGGCAAGATAAGCATCTTTTTGTGTTGCATTGCATGTTTTCAAATCGAACGTTAATTTGAACGCAATGAAAATGGAAATTTCATACTCAAAGTGATGAAATGTGCCACTTTCCTTGGTCTCCGTTGCCCTTGATCATGCATGATAGGGTGATGGTCATTTGAGTCTTGTTCTTGCATTTATTAAGCTTGCACAATTGGTTTCACAAGCCATCATGCAATGAAATTGCTTGATTGATGGTTTGTGAACCCAAATTTTGTCCCTTTTTTGATTTTCCCATGAAAAGGAGAGGCAAAGTATGCAAACAACCCTTGAGAATATGCTGTTTTGCTCGGTTTTGCACTCTATTGCAGCAATGAAATTCAAGACAGCAGTGGCCGATAGCTACCACCAGTAGCTGACCGGCCACCAATGGTAGCCGACCAGCCACCATTGGTAGCTGACTAGCCACCTGTCGACCATTAATAAAATTTGCACAGTATATTTGTAAGGTGGAGCAGAGGTGTTCTGGAAGTGGGCAGCTTTGTTGGTGTTCATATGCGCAAATAGAGGCTTTCCGCAGTAAGGCAGTGGCTTTTCGGGTGAAAAATTGAGCATGCATGCATCCTTCGCTTCCCGGTATTATCTAATTAGTTTAATTAGAAATAGATCAAATATGTGTTGTAATTAATTAGTTCTAGCTAATTAAGAGTTGTGAATAATTAGTTAGTTTAACTAGTTATTCAATTTCGTTTTGTAACTAGTTAACTAGTTAGTTAATTGGTTTGAAGTTTTGTATTAGTTAGCTTAATTAACGTAGCTAGTTGGTTAGCTTATTCATTTGGACCCTCCTTCACGAAGGCGTAATGTTGTAATAAGTGTGCGTTCATGTGTGCATGTTTTTCAACCCCATGTCTTTCTCCCTCTTACTTAACCGCTTTTGATGGTTAGATTAGCATCATGTTCCAAGTAGCATACCTTATGCTTGCATCCATTCATTTTGTATTGCATGCACTGAGGCTCGGCGCATCATTCAAACTGCCTTATCATTTCAATAATTCTTTGAATACGTGTTTAACCGCATTTTATCAAATTGCATCATGCGCCATATTAGTAGCCAAGCCTATTAATTGCATATTGCATGTGTTGCATTAGACATCTTATATAGTTAGGAATCATGCATTTTTCTAACTTTGTTTTCTTTTGGCTTGGAATAGTAGATGAGTTTTTATGCTTTAGCATACTTGCATAAGTGAGAATGTTGCCATGATTAGCATGCTTGCCATTAGGCTATGTCTTTAAATGCTAAACTGCTTGAATGCCTGTGGATAAAGGCTTGTTGTTTGAATTGGAACGATTCAAAAAATGTGCATTTTAAGCCCACTTTGTTGAATGGCAAATCATGTTTTAAGCTCACCATGTTTGGTGGCAAATGCGCACTCTTTAAGCCCACTTGAGGTGGCAAATTCAAACCATTTTCACAAGTAAACATGAGTTGAATTGTTCCAAATTGAGCAAACTAGTCTATACTTGCTTGTGCACGTCACATAGTAAAGCTAGTTTAATAATCGGAATAAGAACACATAATGTTTATAAAAAATCATATCATGATTAGTAGAGGCCGATCTTTGATCGGGTGAGCAGGGGTGCTCAATTCATGACTTTCCCCTCTCGTACCTAAGTTCCCGAGCCGAGGCAACTTTGGTGATGACGGACACATGGCCTTTGGCACGAGTCATGGGTTTCCTAAATTTTTCCAAAAATAAAATATTTAGGTGGCAACTCTGTATCTGGCAAAGCAGTCCACTTTTGGCACTTTTTGATTCAAAATCAATTTTCCAAAACGATTTGCCGGATTTGGCCTCTTTGGTGATT